AAAAATAAAAACATACTACAAAGTAAGATTATTTGACTCATCTTGCATACTACATTGTAAATAATTGCTGTGTACATTTGATTTCATCTTTATTCCCTGATGAGTATAATATGGACATTTTGTATTTATAGCGACTTTTGTCTGTGACAATGGTGATGAATTGACGCGACTACCAGATCATCCCTCTCCTGTCTGTGACATGAACTTTGATTGCTCCGATAAAAGCGACGAGAAGGATTGTGGTGAGTGAATTGTTCTAACACGTTGATTTCAATACAATACAATAGATAACCTGTCAATTTGATGATTGTAATATGGTTGTCATCTCGTTCATTTTGCAGAATGTCGTGCGTTTACCATGCGGTGTTCAGAGACGAGATATTGTGTTCCAATATACTATCTCTGTGACGGCAACGACGACTGTGGAGACGGTTCAGACGAAAACAATTGTGAATAAGTATGAATAATATAATCAATTATTAATACCAACTGCGAGATATACAAAGATTCGTTTTCCTGGTGTGATACACCTTCATATAACACGAAATTCACAGCAAAAATATATATTGTCATTGTCCGTGAAAAACAACACAACCTTGTGTACAATAACAGAGTCTCTAATGGCAGGAATGTTTCAGATGCACTAAAACTATATAATTCATAACACCTTCCGTGCTTCGCTTTCGAGAAATGGCCTTCAAAGTCCGTTATTTACTTTTTTGGTTGTTTTTTTGTTCACGTACTGAAAATACATCATCTGTGTCGCATGTCTTAAGCGAATAACGTGGAGTATGTTGCTGTACTCTTGTTGCAAAGGATTGTTAATATCGTAGTGACCAGCTTTACAAACCTTTCTGTACTTGGTATTCAAAATATTCGCCGACGCTACTTTTTTTGGCACAAATGTAAATATGTATTTAAATAAATACACATTGCAATGATAGTAATGAAAAAAAAAACGGGAAAACATTAGAAGTTTTCCTAACAAGTTGTGGACCCGGATTGACTGTTAAATGTATTTAGTTGTACGACAGGCTGTCGGGTTTCCCTCCGATAGAATAGGTTTTACAGCACAATTGTAATACGTTGCATTGCTTAAGTGTCCATGAATACACGATGTGTATTTCACTCTGCTTCGGCCTCGTAAAAAAAAAGCACTGAGAGGTTTACCTTGGATCAAAACCCGGCACAATTCGTGAAATATTAATAGCAGAATAAATTCGATAGTGTATATTTCTTGCATGTTTATGCGTCTTGAAACGTGTTACTAGACAACACGGTCTACTAAATCACACAGTATATAGTATATGATAATGCAAATAAGCCTAACTTTAATACACAGAACGTAATAATTATGTCCACAGTAAATTATATTAATTCACATTTAGCTGAGTAATTTTATTTAAATAATTGAATGGTGATATTGATGCTCGAGAATTTGTTTATTTCTTTTGCAGAAGTTATGGTTGATAAAATGAAAAAAAATGTCGTTCAGTATTCTCGTTACTGATGACGACGAATCGTTAGGACTTTATAAACACTAATCTATTTTAGACTTGAACTGTAATGAATACGATACTGTGTCCGGCGTTCTTGACATCACTAATCTCGCGGGGTTATTATTCGAATGAATAAGTCATTAAATTTACTCTTTTTTTATCAGTTTGTGGAGAAGACCAGTTTCGTTGCGATAATGATTATGTAAAGCGTTGTCATGGAAATGTGATGGTTATGACGACTGTTAGGACAATTCTGATGAAAAATCATGTGAAGAAAAGTGACGTTTTACTATGAATAAATTCTGGTATTGTGAAATACTGATACATACGTAATAAATAGTAAAAATACACTACAAATACCCCGGAAATAATAAATCTTTGTCATTTTATTCTTCTACCGACACAAATGCAAAATTTTAACAATTTAACGATTGTCAAAGGCATTCGTTATGTCCCACCATTTACATAGTACAAGCACATGCAATGCAAAATAACACTTGTCTAGATAAGTCTTATATTAATGTACAAATGGCAACGAAACTCATGTATGTTGATTAAAGTACTCGGTATTTCATGAATACATAATTAAAGTATAGATTCGTGAACACTGTTTATTACATATGTACTGCAGTGTATTTTGATTCGTCCCTGAAATCAAAATCGGTATTTCCACAACCCATATGCAAATGAGGTCTGAGAGCAAACAAAGTAGTCCCTTCAGGAGTACAGTTTTTCGAAATAAATAATATTTAGAAGTATGATATTTTCCCCTTGGGGTACATGAATATACTTGCCGAGTGAAATGAAATTTGAACAACAGTAATGGTACTTTTAGGCAGTCACTTATTTTGGCCCAAACTAATTTGCATATCACCCATGCAATAATGTTTTCGGTATTTTCACGGTCGATATGCAA